TTGAACGCTCACATCGTTTTTTTTTTCGTTTGGGGGAAAACTAAAACTGGTCGCAATTTTCGAATAAGAATGAGTCGGCAATTTTTAGTGGAGTCGAAAGTTTGGAGGTAAATAAAACACTGAAACCCGGCAAATAAACAGGCGGTTGAATTTTTAGAGGGGTCGAAATTTTGGAGTTTTCACGGTACTAATTATTCCATTTCAATGAAACTTAGTACAAAGATGCTCTAGGACAATGTACAAACTTAATTAGTTTGGGGTAAAAATCTGTTCATATTAATTCCCTAATAAGCATAATAATTCATAATTTTTTGGTTCTAATCACATTTCAATTAAACTTGGAGACATAGATTTTCTGTTACATTGCGCAGACCTCATTAGTTTTACACTCAAATCTGGTCATATTAATTTTCTGATTTGCATAATTAGTTTTCAGCTAAGTAATTTCGAATTATATTTAATGTGTCTCCAATACTTTCAGCACATGGGAGTTCTTTCTAAGCTTTCTTTGATTAATACATGCAATACTAAATAAGCAAATGCAGTATCTTTATATAGAATTAACACCAAATCTATAAGTGCTTTGTGAGACACTATATATCTGTTTTTAACTATGTGTCACCAAGCAAAATTTTGAGATACTGAGATGTACCCTTGTCATAGGAAACAATGATGAAATGCCCTAAAACAGACAAAACATGCTATTGTCACTGTGTTAAATTGATCTAGTTTTGTGATCCCATAACATCATTACATTAACCTGGAAAAAGTCTTCCTTGACCATAGAATATTGATTGTAAAACTTACCACAAACATAACATCTTCCATAACCACCATAAATAGCATCAGAATCTCCTTCCACATCAGAAGAGTCAGAGTTTTCACCAAACTCATCAGAGTTATTATCACTAGATATATCAATCGGACTGTTATTATTATCATCATCATCATCATCATCATCATCATCGGAGTCACTGTCAATCACGACCATGTGTGTACGTGATCTTGTTGCTGGTCCACTTGTCCTGGCACTAATGGTAGTTGTCTCATCACCTGTTCTATGACTGTCAGATTGTTTCTTTGGAGATCGCTTATGAGCCCCTCTGTCCTGTGTGTTTTCTGTAAGAAAATTCCCCCAAATCATTAACGGCAACAGGGTACAGTCAAGTATAGTTTTTTTTTATTGATATAAATATAAATTTTGTACAGGCTTACATGGAAGTTTTATTAACCAGGTTGCTAACTTAAAAGTAGTGGGTTGTATATTAAGCCTGTTTCCAAGGAACTTATGGAACTTGATAATGTTTTTAAAAATCCTTACTTTTCCTTTCAGCAATCAGTTCCAATCTTCTGGTTTTAAGCTCATCACTTAGGTTTTCCACCATTTTATCAATATAACTATCTAGCACGATGGATTTATTGCGACTTGTTACTTTGGCTCTACATACAGGACAGTCACAATGCTTCTTGGTTACCAGCCATTCCGTTATGCACCAATTACAAAATGAATGCGAGCAACTCAATGTAGTAGCCTAGTACAGAACAAACATTTATGAATAAATTCTCCTGTAATTTACACAGATTAATGAATTATTTTCCCCTGGCAGGAATATTGTTATTTTCTATATACTTTGCATGTAGCTCAGCATCAGTGTTTCTCCACAAAAGGTTTTAGTTGGGCCATTAAGTGATATGGTCACCTGATTACTGTAAACACCCACCTACAAACGTAGATTCAGCTGAAATGCTTGAAGTGTTCTTCCCATAACAAAAGAGTAGATGCCCGACCCTTCATTTCCCAAAAATGAAAATTCTACCTGTATTTACATTCGATTTATTTTCATCTTGAAACAACATGAGGAATTGAAGATATTGTCACAAAATGAACAAATCTGAGAGAGGTCCACCTGAGGGACCTATATATATATATAATATAAAAGCAATCGAACTTGCTGTTTTCAACAAGAAGTTGAAAATATCACTTTTCACCAAAAATGACAAAAATATTCATTAAAATTAGAGAATTAAAGATGTCATCAGGAAATGAACAAATCTAAGATAGGTTTACCCAAGGTACATATACACCAAATATCTGAAAAATCAGACTCAACAAAGTTGACAGCAGAGCTAAAAATAAACACAGTAACTTTTGTATCTGATAGTTGACAACGACAATCGTAGTAGCTGAAAGTGTAAGTATTGTGATATTTAATTTTCCCATGTTCTCAAAACTATTAGTGTTTACCAATTATTGTCTCATTCTAGTGTGAAGGCCTTAGGCATGCTAAATGTAAAACAGGCTAACATGTCAATTATCTTTCAAGTTCTGTTATGTGTTAATTTGTGACATAGACATAGAATGATGGCCTATTAGCTGATCATGCTACATGCATGCTAACAATATACGTGTATCATTTAACGATAGAATAGTGCTGGTTTTGATCTGGTTGTCATTTTCATTGAATTTTAAGTCAGCAGGTCACAGTGATTTTTGTAGCAGTGCACATCAGATCTTTAGATATGAGTCACAGAGAATAGTCATTACATTTTATTTCATAA